CCCGGCCCCTTTGCCGGGATCCCTGCCCCCCCCGCCAGGTAGGCTGACCTCCTTCCAGGCCATCCCCAGCCTCTCCCCCACATCAATGTGCAAGGAACAGTGTGTGTGTGTGTAGGGGGGTTGCTCTCTTGCCGATGAGCGGAACATGCCCCCCTCTCAGCCGGGGGGAGCGAGAGAAGAGCCCGACGGGGCCCCGGGTCCGGGGGGGCCGCTGCAGGGGGGGGGGGGCGGGGAGCTGCTGCGGCGGGCGGGGGAATCCCCTCCCTGCATCTCCTCCGCTACGCGAATCCCGGGGTCCCCCGTGTTCCCAGCGCCCGCGGGCGGGAGCCCGACTCTCGGGGCAGGGGAACCCCAGGCTCCGGGGGAGCCGAGTCATTTTTCCAAATGCCCGAAAGAGGGCAGTCGAAGCTGCGGTTGCACAGACCGAGAGGGCGCAGGAGGAGCTGCCGCCGAGCTCTTCTCAGCCGGCCAGAGAGTTTTTGTTGTTTTTAAAACCTACCAGCGCGGTTCCCTCTTTCTGCTCCTCCCGCCCCCATATCGCTCTTAAGCGCCTGCTCAAGGTGCGGAGAACACGCAGCTACGTGCGGAAAGGAGTGCGCACCCCGCACCCAGCGGCAAACCCAAGGAGGGGGGGAGGTCAGTCCCGATCACTTGCTGCTTCCAAACTCAACCCAGCATGCCGCCCTGCTGGAAAATACCTTGTTGGCCTGGCCATGAAGGGCTGAGGGGGAGGGGGGAAAGTCAGGAAAAAAAAGGGCCTCCCTAGCTATTTGTTTCCCCCTCTGTTGGGGCAGATCGCGGCGGATGAATTGCAAACTGGTTGCCAAAATCCCCCCCCCCTTTTTTTCTCTCTCTCTCTTCACCCACCCCCCTCTCTCTTTTGCAGCCTTTGAATGTGGGGTAGCTAGGAAACAGCGAGCAGCCTGCGAAGACGGAATTTCCAACGTGTAAAATGTTCTTAACGGAGCCATTGAGAGAGTGCAATAAGGCGTGAGGGGGAACTAATCTCCCCATTTAAATGTTTGTGGCAATTTTATCTAAATGAATTTTAATGCTAAACGAGGGATAATTCCCTATTTGTAACCCGTTTACTTCTCTTTCCTGTGCCTCCAAAGCCGTCTAACATCACGCGATGAACAACAACAATAAAAATACTGTCAAGCATATTCTTCGTTTTGAATGTGTTATAATTACAGCTGATTAAATGTCTCGGGATCGAATAGTGTTTTTAATCTGAAATGTACCAAACTCCCCTTACCCCTCCAAAAAAAGTCATATTCAGGAAGGAGCCTTTTGTGAGGCTTCTCCCCACCCCTAAGAAAGGCACAAACGCGTGTGCTCTTTGTTTGCTGCAGGGCGGTTTGTTTTTGTCTTTTAGGAAACATTAAAAGAGAGAGCGAGAGAGAGAGGAAGAAGAAGAAGAGAAGAAAAGCAGCAGCAAACCCAGCTCCGAGCATTCCCATTTTGGCACAGAACTGACATTATTATAAACTAACGAGGCTGGATCAGAAATGTGCAATCGGTAGAATGGCCCTTTAAAAAGCTATGAGGGGGAAACGGGGAAGAAGGGTGAAAAAAACAGAAGGGAGGAGAAGAGGTGGGGAAAGACCCACTGATTGATTTTCTGAATTCACTGGGCTCCAGAAGCCAGCCTGACCCTCAGCTGCCTTAATATTCCTCAATTAACTCCCCCTTCTTAACCAGCACCAGGCACACTATACAGCCAGTGAGTGGATTCTCCACCCTGTGGCCCTGGGGTAGATAGGATAAAGTCAAGTTTACTAGTGTAAACCCCCTCCAGAGGTAGTGGAGGATCAGTCCCATGGAGTCTTTTGCTGGGACCTGACTGTAAGCAGTGGGGGAGAAATGGATGGTTAGTAGTAGTTTTAAAACACATTTATTATTTAATGGAAAAAGTAAACAAATGGCCATTAACTGCTAGTAACCACCTATCAGGAGGGATTCCAATCCAGAGGACTATTTCCAGACTGAACGCAGCTCTCTCTTCTAGATTGGATTTTAAAAAAATCCTGCTCTGGGAGTAAGAGTGGGGAGGCTTCTGGTTAAAGGTTTATTTTAATGTCACAAAAGGGAGGTGTATTTAGAAGGGAGACTTTTGAAGCACACGCCAATAAACAAAAGGTGAAAGGGCACAGAACTGCTCCAGCAGGTAGGCCAGTCAATCAAATATCACCTACTAAACCCACCGAATAACTGGTTCCTCTTTTCAAATAGAAAATAGAATTGTTCAGGGCGGGTTTATGGGGTGACATCTATTTGACTGGCAGGTTTTGCTAGCCCCGGTTCAAACACTACCTTTTGTTTATCAAGCAATCACTAGAGGTTTTGATTTTTTTTATGAATTTGTCTTAATTAAAAATATTTGTATATTTTCCTTACCCTTAGGAAATGCTTTTTATAGCTGTGATTTTATTTAAAGAAAATTATAAGGTACTGCAGCCTAAACATGTTATTTTGTACTATTTAACTAGTTGGCTGCAGTGCAGAAAGTACAGCTGTACTGGAAAATTGGTTAATGATCAGTCTTCAGCCAATCAGAGCACAAAACTTATTTATGAGCATTAGATTTAAAAAGTCTATCATCCTTAGTTTGAGTAGTTAATTTACTTATAAATATGCACTTATTTCATGCAAGGTTTTAAATTTTTTCTAAATACTCAGTTAAAGAAAGAAATTTAAATCCATCAATGATTCAAGTAATGTAAATAAGATATTAGAGATGTAATTCAGGGAGAATTTAAAATATGCATCTAATATTCTGCAGCTAATACTCTTGGATGTTAAATTTTTGCAGTTATTCTGACAATTTACAGTGTAAACTGTCAGAAGGTTTTTTTTTAAAACAGAGTAGCATTACTTTTAAATAATGTATTATGAGTGATATTTAAATAGCAATTATAAGCCAATCTTTTTTAAGTTTAATCTTACAGATTTTGGGTTCACATATTACTAGAAAATCATTGCAAATATTTTGAGGGGGGGGGCAGCAAACAAATTTTCCAAGCAGTGGAGTCAGCATGACAAAAAATAATTTGTTTTTATTTTAGATTCAGATTTCATTACTGCACTCAGACTACTACAACTGGGCTTTGAGTTATTATACAATCCAAACTGTTTCAATCAGAAACTCTAAGACTCAGTGTGCAATGATTATTATTAATAATAATTAGCTCCTTGGTTTCTTGATAGAAAAAAGGCTATCAACAAGCATTTGTTTAACCACAACAAAAAGTATAATTAGCTTATCCCACTTAGTAAATCTGTATGCATGCCAACTCATACCAAACTGCTACTTTTACAAAAAATTGCAATAATACAGTTCATTTTTCCAGTCCTTTTTGCACAAAATTTATTTACAATGTATACATAAACGCTCCATGAAGGGACTATGGAAAAATGCACACGACTGATGCTTTGCCCAGAAATAAAGTCAACATATTAAAAATAAATCTTCAGTTCATGTTTTGAGCTGCATAAAACAGGAAGTGATGTATAAGTGTTGCTGAATGGGGACAATGATGCTCTGATGTGACAATTAGGCTTCAAATACACTGCCTTTTGGTTTCCATGCTTCCTCCTACCAGTCTCCTTAAGACACTGCCTGCAACAGCTGATTAATCATTGTTGATGACTGCAGTTTTTCCCATCCTTCCCGATTTACATCTGTTCAGACCAATTCAAATATGGTGAGTAAATGAATTAGACATGCAAATTCATGCCCCAGGCTAGAGAGAGAGAGGAAGGAAGGAAGAAAGAAGGAGAGAGAGAGAGAGAGTGAGAGTGTGTG